CACAACTCTCTTTGGTCATTATGAACGGAATGTAATGTCATTTGGATTGANTGTCAACATTTTTAGATTAAACAATCTTACCCATAGTGAAGAAAGTTCAGATTACTCAAGTAGTACTGAAAGTTCTTCAGACTGTTAATCAGCCTCAAGTAACCCTAGTGAACCTAAAATCAAATTAGGCTGCAAAGATAGTTGTTGCAAAACAGTTAGGGTTATCACTAAACAAAATGAGGAAGAACATATTCTCATCGAGTTAATTAGTAAAGTAGAAGACCCAAAATTAAAGTTCAAATAGATCAAGAAATTAAAAGATTTGTTTGCTAAAAAAGACACAAAACAATCTTTTAACCAAAAACAGTTAATTAGTATTAACACCACAATGAAAAAATTCAGTAAGGAGAAAAAGAAAGAAGTCACCTTAAAAGATCTCCAAAGTGATGTTAACAAATTAAAATCTGAAATAAAAGATTTAAAAGCCCAAGACAAGAAACTTACAGAAGCTTTAAGTTTTTTAACAACAGATAGTTTTGGCGCTTCAAAGGATTTTGATCTTGAAAAATAGTCACTAGTTAATGAATAATCTGAGACAGAATCTCAGGATGAAACAGATTTACAGGGGATACCCATAACCTCCACCTTTCTAATGGATCCTTTGGGTGTAACAAACCTGCCATCTTATGATGGATGTTCCCAGGCTAATGATAATCATAAGATTAATCTAGTAAATAAAATTAATTTTTAAAAATGACATTCTAAAGTAAAAATCATCATTGATAATGATTTTGAATTAGAAACCATTGCCTTAATTGATACTGGTGCAGACGTAAACTGCATCCAGGAATGCATGATCTCAACTAAGAACTATCAAAAAATCATTGAAAGACTTAGTTCAGCAAATGATAGTAAAATGAAAGTTAAGTACAAACTACCGAGTATGCATATCTGTCAAGATAGTGTATGTTTTAAAACATCATTTTATCTTAGTAAAAGATATGACTGATGATGTTATTCTTGGTTTACCCTTTGTATATTTGTTGTATCTTTTTACAACAGACACAAATGGTGTAATCACGAAACCACTTGGTCAATCAATAACTTTTAAGTTTGTAATCAAACCAGAAGTTAAAAAATTAAAACAACTTAAAGATCATTCAATCTCTAAGTATCTTAATCTGATTAACCAAAAAACTAAACAAGTGAAATTTGTTAAAGAAGAAATTAATCACAAAAGAATGCAAGAACAGTTAACTAATCCAATCTTAATTGAAAGGATTAACTAGTTTAAAACAAACCTGGAAGAAGAAATATATTCTAATCTTCCTACAGCTTTCTAGCATAGGAAGAAACACACGGTTAAACTTCCCTACATTAAAGGATTTAAGCAACAAAATATTCCTACTAAATCCAGACCTATCCAAATGAGTCATGAAGTAATGAAAATCTGCAAAAAAGATATTTTTGAATTACTCAAAAATGGTATCATCAGGAAAAGTAAATCTCATTGGTCATACCCAGCTTTCTATGTCATCAAAAATGCAAAATTAGAAATAGGCGTACTAAGACTAGTAATCAACTATAAACCTTTAAATTCTGTATTGGAATGGATCAGGTACCCAATTTCAAACAAATAGGATTTAATCAAAAGACTTAGTAACTCAGTAATCTTTTCAAAATTTTACTTGAAAAGTGGTTACTGGCAAATCCAAATATATCCAGAAGATAGGTATAAAACTGCATTCACAACTCTCTTTGGTCATTATGAACGGAATGTAATGTCATTTGGATTGAAAAATGGACCTAGTGAATTTCAAAATATAATGAATGAAATATTTAATTCCATTAGTTATTTTTCTATAGTCTATATAGATGATATTCTCATCTTCTCCAGATCTATAGAAGAACATTGGAAACATCTCTATGCATTTTTAGAGATTGTCAAACACAATGGTCTTGTCATCTCTGCTAGTAAGATCAAGTTATTTCAAACTTCAGTAAGGTTTCTTGGATACAATATCCAACAATCAACCATTGTTCCCATCAGTCGTTCTATCCAATTTATAGATAAGTTCCCTAATAAGATCACTGATAAAACCCAATTACAAAGGTTTTTAGGTTCCCTAAATTATGTTTATGATTTCTATCAGGATCTTAGGAAAATCGTTAAACTTCTGTATGACAGGCTCAAATGAAATTCTTCTCCTTAGACATCTGTTCATACATTTATAATCCAACAAGTCAAGCAGTTCATTAAAACTTTGTCTTGCCTTGGTATTCCTTCGGTTGATTCCTTTAAAATCATCCAAACTGATGCCTTCGACATTGACTACGGTGGTATCTTACTTTAGAAACTTACTCCAGACTCCCCAGAGCAAATTGTTTGTTTCCACTCCGGTGTTTGGAATAAGGTAGAAGCAAATTATAGCACAATTAAAAAAGAAATTTTAGCTATTGTCTTGTGTATCTCTAAATTCTAGGATGATATACTAAATTAGAAATTCCTAGTAAGAGTTGATTGTAAATCAGCAAAATATGTTTTGGAAAAAGATGTACAAAACATTGCTAGTAAGCAAATTTTTGTCCGATGACAATCTATTTTAAGTATTTTTGATTTTGACATTGAATATATTAAAGGCAGTAATAACTGCATCCCTGATTTCCTAATCCGTGAATTTCTGCAGGAACCTCATGACGAACAGGAAAAACAATAAACCTAGTATCTCTTCCAAGGCAGGGAGGGATACTAGAAAACAATTAGCTTTACTTAGCCCAAATCCAAAACCCAGCCAAAACACAACAATTGTCATAGCTAACCATTACCAACACCTTGGTAACCCAGTAAAACCAGTAACCTAGTTTACTCTAATAAACCCCAGTACTTTCCTCCAAATGGCCCAGCAGGCCCCAAAACCTATTGCACCACCTAAACTTGGCACTTCTAGGCAACTTGTTAACCCATATTCTCACCAACCACAGTTAGCCCATAAAGGCCCAAAGGTTGATTATATCAAAGTCTATACCCAAAATGTATTTGCTATTGAACCAGTCCACGGTCACCTAAGTGGCCCAATAGACCTTATCAAACCATACCTTGAGCCAGGATGAACCTTTATTCCATCTGATCCTGAAAAGACCTTTCAGTTTTATCAGGATGTTTTATTCTTTACCCAGTCCAATTTTATCAAGCTTATAGCTGATAAGAATGACCCTAGCAAAATTATTTATCACTCTTTAAATATTTTAAAGATTATTTCTCTCAAAGATTGGGAATCTCATCCTTCTTCACTCAGAGATCTACCTTATCATAATAGAAAATTTAATTACTATGATTACAAAGAATCATGGTTTAAAATTATTCTCTATCAGGATGGTTTTTTAAATCATTCCTGATTCTTACAGTTTCATAAAAGATTTCAAGAGTCAGATCCCGTCTTGGTTCACACAGTGGTGGTTTATTCACGACCCCATTCATGAAATCTTCTCATCTGATCTTGAAGATCAGATTATAGCTTTCTCCTCTATTTATAAGCTTAGTAAACATGAGAGTCAATTTCCTATTTTACTAACATTTATTTGTAGGTACAAAGTCCCATGGATATGCAAATGGAAATGAGAAATTATTGGTTTTAATGTCGCCAGACAATTCTATGTTAAATGGTGGCCCAAGTTCCAACAAGGACCAATTATTGACCCAGTCAAGATTCCAACCCCAGTAGCGGTTTCAGTAACCTTAACTCCAACTAAGCAAGTTATGCCTTTTCTCCGAATTTCTACTCCAGAAGAGCTCAAGAAATCCACTACAGAAGCACAAAAGTAGAAAAAGTCATCCTCTAAGGACTCTAGTAAGCAATTCAAGAAGAAGTTCATTGCACTCATTGAGTTGGCACAAAAGCTTCTTCAACAAGCAGCTAGTGAAAGCAATTCGTCTGCATCCTCTCAGGCTTCCGTCTCACCCTCCTTAGATCCATTTCAAGATAGTCAAGATCCGTTTGTAGGATATGATGACCTAGTCGACATCACTACCTTATGATTTTTATCCTTACATGTGATAACTTTAATCACTACTCTCGAAAGAGAGAAAAGATGTCTGTCACTTGTAATGATATTATATCATATAGTTAAGTCAGGCTCTTTCTCCAATAAAACAGCCACCTATCAAAGTCCAAATTTGTTTTTCCCACCGAAAGTAAATTCCTTCAGCCAGCAGCAGAGACCCACACCTGCATTAGTCAAAAGTTACTTAAGTAAAAGATATTTCACTCTTACTTTTCCACCGAAAGTTAAAGTGAAAGCATTTTACTTTAGTAAAAGCAACAAAGGGAAATCATTCCAAGTTTTCCTCCGAAGGCTCCTTCCTCCTATATAAGGACTCTAGTCTTCATCAGTAAACCAAGTTTTTTTTGCTTCGGCAAAACATATTACAGCCAATATACACTAGCCTTCCCTTCTCTCATATTGTATTTCTGATCTTCATAATGATGCAAATAAAAAAGCAGACTCCTATCCCTAATCACACACTTCCACCAGTACTAGTGTTGTAAATATATATATATATCCCCTTTACCAATTCAATGTTGGTGATGTATTAGGTCAACAAATTATATAAATAAATTATGTTTCCACGTCAAAAGTATATAGAGAAAATCTTGGACCTAAGTATATAGAGAAAATCTTGGACATATATGTAGGAATAATGACCTTAAATGACAACTTGCCAATCTTTTGGGCAAATTCTTACTACAAAAATCTGTTAAAAGTATATATTTATATTCACTTTTCTTCTTCAAAATTAATTTCTCTTACAAGGAGTATAGATATAAGGGACACAAACCCACTGTACATCAAATCCTAATCACATATATATGTAAGAACTTTCTTCTTCTTTTTCTCCCCTGTTAACCTGTACCATGAAAACTTCTACAATGGGCATCTACCATATCAGCAACCTGAAGTTATCAAAGCGACTGAAAGAAACCATAAGATGAATTCTGCTGAAGTAATTACTCAGAATAGAAAAAGAAGATACCATTGAGAATATCGGGTTCACGACAACCACATTTGATGATTAGAGAGATTAAAACCGACTCTAAAGAATAAGCATGACATAGCCACACAAATCACTGGCATTGACCTATTATATATGATGACTAAACTATGATTTCAATGATGAACTACAAAATGCTAAATGAAACTCACGAAGAAAACTCAAATCTAGATATGTACATAAGCGAAGCTGTATGAGAGTATTCACACACAAAGTCACCATGATTCACAAAATTGTTGGCAACAGTTGGAGATAAGCTAAAAAGGCAGGCGATTTCTGTTTAGACTTTGAAAACATCCCGGGGACATTGAAGGCACATAACTTTTTGGAAGCGCAGAGAACAGATAATCATGATGCACCAGCTTGGACCTGAACCGTGAAAATCGAACATAGATGTAGAGCAGGCTCTTGTTTTCCTCCTAATAATCACGTATGGCATCACAATGGAGTGCCCTTTAATACACAGTATTATAGTGGTGCTGACTGCATAGCAGAAGCAGAACCCTCGCTATCTGTGTCAAGATCATTTCAAAAAGAAGCATAAGCCAGTAGATGCTACAGAGGTTTTAGTACCTCAATTTTCGCAAGACTGATGAAGAATGTCTCTTTCACACTGTAGGGAGCTGTCATCAGAACACACTACTACATTCCGTCAGATTCCCATTGGTTTCCCCTGTAGTATTCTCTGCTGAAGTTTCACCAAAAGAATCGAGAACCTGTCCCACGCAAGCAACTTTCACACCTACTTCATGAGTGTCAACTACCTCGCCATCTTCATTAGACTCAATATTGTTTTCAGCTGTAGCGACAACTTCCTCATGAACCACTACTAATTCGCTTTCACCACCCACTACAGCCTGCTAATCTAAATCAGCATTGAATTGCATGGCACTCTCAACAGCAGCATGAGAAGCAGGAACAGAAACAGGATTCTGTTTCTCATCGAATTCTGAAGCTACAGGTAATTCAATTTCCACTTCAACTGGACTAAGATGTTTCAGATCAGAGTTAGATGTCATGGTAGCTTCATCAGTACCACAAAAACTAGAGGCAGAAACAGGATTCTCATTTTCTTTGATTTCTTCGGTAGTATTCTGTGCAGAAATATCTTCTACAGGGTTAAGAGCTGGTTCAATATAATCTTCTTTGATGTGGCCTTTGCAACCATCATCCACATCACTCACAGCAGAAGACTGGGTGTTACATTCAATTCGAGGTTTTGCATTAGAAGCAACTTCAACATCAGAAACAAGTTCTGAAGACTCGTGTAATTCATTTTCCATATGAGCAGAATTTTGCTTTTCATTAACTTTTTCTGTAGTACTCTGTCCAGAAATTTCTAACAAAGATCTAGTTATAGGTTCAACACGAGCATCTTTCACATTCACTACACGAGCACCACCCTCAGGACCCTCCACAGAAGACTGAATATTATGCAACTTGCTTTCCATTTCAACTGCACCCTGATGATCCGAATCAAAGGTAAATTGCTTGGTACTCTCAGCAGCAGTACAGAAAGTAGAACCAGAAAGAGGATTCTGGTTTCCATTGGCCTCCTCAGCTGTGCTCCTTGCAGAAGTTCCGCCTAAAGAATCAACAGGTCCCACACAAGAAGCTTTGGCATTTGCTTCATGAGCATCACCCATGACAACCTCTGCAGAAGACTGAATATCATCTCTAACCAGAGGATCTAACCCAGGGGTTTCCATCTCAAGAATGGCAGAACTTGTACCGGAGGGAGAGATGCACTTTAAGTCAGCAGTGGATTCGGATTGCTTGTTCACTGACTGAGATCTGATGGAAATAGTCTCCTTGCTAGAGAATTGAAGTTTAGATTCACAAGAAGCATCTAAGGAACTAATCATTACATTACTGTCATTGTTATTAGTTAAATGGTGCAACCCGGCATCATCACGTCTGTGGCAACCATGCCTGGCAGAGGATTCCATGTCAGATTTTTTCATCATATCGTGCAACGGAAGATTTTCTTTCAATTCAATGGTCTTTGTAGCTACAATGAAAAACTTCAAAAGTTAATTAACAACAGATATGAACTCAAAGGCAGGATAAAAAGTTGCCTTCAGAAAAACAAACCTGAGTTGGCAACTATGTTTCCAGCGACTTCTTGTTTCACTAGCCGCTTCTGTAACATATCTGTGCCGGGAAACACCAACATGTTCATTGACTTGATTTCTTGTTTGTCTGGTTCCTCGAGAGGATGGAAACCGAAAACCACAGTCCAAGTATGCATGTGTTCAGCAATAGCAGGAATAATCAATCTTTCAACTTTGAGAAACCCAAGGGCCTGAAAACAGAAACATCATGAAGTAAACCGTTGGCCTAAAACAATGGGGAGTAAGAAAGCAGGGTCAACAAAGAAACAGGAAAAAGAACAAGAATAAGGAAACTTTTCAGGATTTGATGAACAAATTAACACTCGACAATGGCAATTAGCAACGTAAAAATACCAAACCAGTATGTGTGTGTAGATATGCAATAACTGCAGGAACACATATGACAGGAAAGCCTGGTATGTAATCATACATCCAAAGACAGGGTAGAGTTCTCAAGGGCTCATTTTATAACAATCCTTCTGAAAACAAGATACAATACAATGTGCACATTTTCTCATCTAAAGAGGCAAGAACAATCAATAAATATTGTCAGCATACCATTTCAACAGCACACAATAGCCGACGGCACATCCCTTGGCGTCTATATACATTGCGGGTCCCAATGAATGGCATCTCCGCTAGATGAGTCCCATGGATCCTAACCAGGTGATGAACAATATAGAGATTAAAATTAGTAGGGGCACTAATTAGCACACATGCATGGACACAAGAAACATAAAAAACATCCCAACTAACGAGTTAATGTTCAAAAATGGATTACTAATGACTGTCACTCTCCTTAAACATTGAAGTTTAAGTTAAGACAGAAAAGTTTCAGAATCAACACCCATTTTAAGCCAATAACATACTTTTTGTCCCCTAATGAAAATCCATGATATGATACAAAAGAAGATTACCTGTTAGAACACAACTAATGAAGACATGTGGGGAAGAGCTAATGGCATTATCTTTTGCTTTTTAATTTCAATTACACCCCCCAGGAAAAAATTCCAAGAAGGGACCTCAATGGCTTACACCCACCACCACCAAAAGGGCCTAACTTTTGGAGGTATGGAGAAACCTTACAAGGCACCTCACTCGGTTTCCCAAATCATTGAAGAAAAAATCTTTTTGGAGACACTGACAGAAAACTTGGATGATGTTGTAGTATAAACATTTATGTTACACCATCTCTAACAGATTAAACTTAGTAGATGGTAGTTTAACATAGTATCAGAGCTCTATGTTTGAATCTCACCACCAAATCTAACATACACATAAGGGGCATGTATAAATACTTAGGTTACACTATCTCTAACAACTCAAATTTTTAAAGTAGATGGTGGCTAAAAGATGATGAACCAGAAAAACCTATATTAATTTAACTGCCCCATATGAGTGCAAGACAAGAGGGCAGTTGCCTGTGTTAAAAGATACTGCAACCACATTNAATTTTTAAAGTAGATGGTGGCTAAAAGATGATGAACCAGAAAAACCTATATTAATTTAACTGCCCCTTATGAGTGCAAGACAAGAGGGCAGTTGCCTGTGTTAAAAGATACTGCAACCACATTTGATCATTATGTTTTTCAACATTTACTATTGAGAATGTGTCATTAATCCTTCTTATCACCAAGTAAGTATTTAGTCTAAACTGCATGTGCAACACGTGACCTCAAAATTATTGAAGCACTATACCTGATGGATGCTGCAGATATTATTTCGTCACCCCTCTCCAAAATTGCTGTATAAAAGCCACTATAATTCAACCGACTGAAGTTTGATCTACAGAAGAAAAATAAAAAAGTAACATAATCAGAAAACACGCACACATGCCCTCAAAAAACTACAACAGTTAGGATAAACAACAAATACAGCAATCAGCTGTACTTAAACATTACTACATCATCAAGAGAAAACCAGAAGATATCAGTGCACCAAATAATCATGAGACGAATAATTAGTAACCTTTGGAATGTTGCATCCACTACATATTATTGTTAATAGTTTGTAGTTTGTACAAGATTGTGACTACCTATAATGCCTTTAATGTATGCAAGATCAGAAAAGCCACTTGGGTTTATGCGTCTAATGGCCACAAGAATGCCTAAGAAACTTTATGCATGAACATCACAATGGCAGCTTTTAATTAATGGACTTATCGATATAAAAAAGGAAAAAGAGAAAAGAATGAGTAACTCATGGATGTCTCATATAACCACCTCAAGCAAATAAACTAGTTTGAGAAAATAGGTGACAGGTACCAAATCCTACACTGCAAAAAGAGAGATGTGGACACAATTGTGCATAGTTCCCAACAAATATAGCCAATAACTGCTTACCCACAATTATAGAGAACACTATGAATCAAATTGATCCCACTCCTCCTGTCAACAATTGGCAAAAAACACTCATCCATGACAGACAGTGCAACAGCAAGCTTAGAATTGCATTCCACACGTTGAGGAAATGCACGGTGCGATGCATCAAAGTCTAGATCTGTTCGATGAATGAGAGACCATGAGAATCCTGCTTCCAATTCCTGTTTGATCCCAAGAAGATTCTGCAAACGGTCAAACAGCTGCAAGAGCACACAAAATTGGATTAATTTGATGCCCTCCAACAAAAATGTAAGGCAAAAATTTCATATGAGAGACAGACAATAGGCATCCAACGGAAGAATGCCAAGTCAAATATTGAAAAGAAATCAAGTAGAGATGATTTGATTTCCAATAAACCAGAGAAAATTCTTGTGTTCGATCTGAATCTTTCCGCTGATCATTTGAGATTAGATGAGATACAACATATAGTTTCTCACCCTCCATTTTCTGATGACACAACTTGTTTCCATCTGGAAACAAGGATACATTCCTCTTTTTTTTTTTTTGTTTTTGTACACCCAAATGTGCAGAGATTATTCCGAATCTTAGCATAAAACTGTCTTAAGGGCAGTGTAACTGGAATTCAGGTGGGTGGGGGGGGGGGCGTTATCTCACTCCGCTGGGTCATAAGTGCTGGAATTTCTAACTGGTTAGAAATGAAAAAAGACAACCTGGAGAAAGATTAAACATCTTGGCACTATCCCATTTTTTTTCCAAAAAAAAAAAAGGTGAATACCTCTTGGCACTTCTTGCCACAAAAGGAAGTGGATGCGTTATTGGGATCAGCAGGTAGAGAATCCCTCTTCTGACAGCAAAATTCGTGATCTAGCAAAGGCAAGAGGTTAAATATTAGCAAAATCCACGAATTAAAAACAGAGAAAAAGAACACACAAAAGAAACTCCAAGACAAAAGTAGGAAAGGCAATTACATTTTTTCTCACAAAGGCCGCATGTGAGAAGTGACCCGACAGTTCTATTACTTTCTTCAGGCTCACTCCCACCAGCAGTCTCACAAAATTTGCATGTACAATTTGGACAGTGCCAATCACCAGGTGGAAGCATCTGCAACAAAAGGAGAGAAGCAAGTGCCCCAACTGCTTAGTCATAAATTAATGTAAAATGCAGCCAAAGCACAAAATGCTACAGTTCAATAAAACACAACAATTACTTCATTTGATATGGTTTCTCTCCTAAGCCAACAAGTTTGAGCCCTAAGCTCTATAGCAGAAATATACTCAACAAACTAACTTCAAAGCCAAAAGTTTCAGTAAAAGCTTTTACATAACCCAAGCAAGGTATTAGATCTTAAATCCACCATTGAACCAAACTAGTTTGGGACCTCGATAGCATCATCCTGCTTAAGTCCCGCGCAAGGCCGTAAGTACCAAATTGCTTCAAGTCTTAAATTTGAATACCCTCTGTTGGGCTAAGCAATAAGGTCAGGCAAGGGTTTGACTTTATCTGTACTTTTCAGCAAAAGGAACCTTAGATAAACATGAGACATAAGTTTTCGCCTCATTCAAACTTTCTACCATAATATGGGAATTTAAACACTTGCAAACACCATGGACATCCTCAGATACATCATTGGTCAAACATGCAAGATGTAAAANTCTGACTTTATCTGTACTTTTCAGCAAAAGGAACCTTAGATAAACATGAGACATAAGTTTTCGTCTCATTCAAACTTTCTACCATAATATGGGAATTTAAACACTAGCAAACACCATGGACATCCTCAGATACATCATTGGTCAAACATGCAAGATGTAAAATAATGGTTTTCTTGTCAATGGATAATCACACATCATAGTAGCGTTCTTTCTCCTGCATCACGAAATCCAGTCTCTTTCCAAACACAATGGCAATGACCCGAATAAACAAAAAGTCAAAAACTCTATCCACTCTGCAAAGTTGCTTCAAAATCTGTGTTTTTATCCATGGTCCATTCCAGCAATAACATTAAAATTGGCCGGCCAAATGACCCATTTATTTTGCACAGATATATATTTACGTATGTAGGCATGCATATCCTATACCAAATAATTGCCTATAAGAGCATATCCAAGCAAATAAAGCACGAAAGCAATTTCCATTTCTATCTTAAATGTACCTGTATATCTAGACAACTCNCAGGCCAAATGACCCATTTATTTTGCACAGATATATATTTACGTATGTAGGCATGCATATCCTATACAAAATAATTGCCTATAAGAGCATATCCAAGCAAATAAAGCACGAAAGCAATTTCCATTTCTATCTTAAATGTACCTGTATATCTAGACAACTCTGATGAAATGTTGATGGACAACCATCACAACAGATCAAATCCCCACCATCACCACAAATGCCACAAGTATCGTCATCTGGATCATCACCATCAACATCTACAAAGTGACAACCTTGGCGTTCGGAATCCTCCTGTCTATTCCATGCATCTATCTGACACTGCAACAGGGAAGTCCCGGACTCCAAAATTATGTTCTGGTATGGCTGACCCTTTTTGGTACCAGCATGAATCTCGAACTTCGAAACCGTAAGGATTTTACTACAGCAACCACAGTGGATGCCATCTCTTGTGATCCATCCCTCCAGCATTACTTTTGTTTGTCTGCGGTTCATATACTGCACTTTTTCACTCAATTTTGCTGTTCCAGAGTCAATCAACCAGGACAATAAGGTTCGCTTTCCAGTATATGGAACATAACCTTCAGTTTCAGGATTTTGTCCCTTGTCAGAACTGCGAACCAACAAAGTGCATCTGCCTAATATTCTGCTTTTTCTCTGTTGAATCGTATGAGAATCAGTTGAAGTAGATGGTTTTTCAGCCCTGTTTTGCTGGAATGTTGTTTTGTAAAGATTATCATTCAAATCATCCCCACACATATGATCTGCTTCCTGCAATCTGCCTTTCAATGACTTGCCATTCTGCTTCATATAAACACTAAGTGTCTCTTCATGCTGATCGCTGTCCATGCCCTCCGTAGGCTTTTTCCGAGCAGCTTCCTTTGCATTCTTTCTCCGACCATCATCTCTTCTCTTCTTCTTCATTTCCTTCTCCATCTTCTTTCGGGTTTGTCTCGTTAATTTATTGAGCAAGTCATCTGATACTTTCCAGCCAAGTTTGGTATTATCACCTTCTTCCTCCAACTGCTTTTGAAGCGCATCATAAGCCTTAATGATCGACCAATATGCTGTCCCACTGGGGTTAATGTAAACTGCATCTAGATAGTCTCTGTTTCTTCTTGGCCTATAATCAATCGTCCAGCCAGCATTGACAAGCATATTTCTTATCTGCTCACGTAGTACTTGTTTGTCTGTGCCAGTACCATGTGGAATTTTTCCTTCTTTACTGCCAACTTTAGTGACATTTTCAGTTGGTGGAGCTCTTTTTCCTTCATTTTTTACCCTTTTTGTTGAATCACAAGCTTTCACATCTGGAGGTCCCCGCTTCAGTGGAGTGTCACCATTATCTGTTGCCAAATCTCTGCCCTTCCTGCTCTTAGTTGGTGATGATTTCCGCAATTTCAGCTTACTTTTCTCTTTCTTGGTCAATGGATCTGATTTTTGATGTTTTGAATCTGGAAACAATGAAGATCGTACCAAAGCATTCTTTCTAATAGCATCTTCGGAACTAGAAATGTTTCTATTCTCAAATTTGTGATGATCGTAGCTATTATGAGACAAACCCATCTTCTTCTTTTTATTAACCATTACCTTCAACACACCATTTTTCCCCTGCAACCTTATAGGCTTATCCGATGCTTCCCGCTTCTCTCTAAAAGATGAAATGGGCATATGAGCTTCATCCTCCAGCATCTCAATCCTGCNCAATGCTTCCTGCTTCTCTCTAAAAGATGAAACGGGCATATGAGCTTCATCCTCCAGCATCTCAATCCTGCTCTTAGCCATATAATTGANCGATGCTTCCCGCTTCTCTCTAAAAGATGAAATGGGCATATGAGCTTCATCCTCCAGCATCTCAATCCTGCTCTTAGCCATATAATTGACCCCTTTATTCCTCCCGCCCATCATACTACTTGTACCATCAAAGTAAGAATGTTTCCTCTTCTCAACCATTACGTTTCTACTGGACCCACTTCCAAATTCCACTGGATTCTCATCACGTCCAACCATATAATCATTCCTCATCTTCTGGCCATCGAATTCATCATATTCGTTGAATTCAAATAAATCCAATCTACTCATATTTCTCTCTTCACTCCCGAATTCACCATTCCTGCCAAATTCTCTATTTTCCACTACATTCTTTCTGCAATCAACAGAGCCATTCCGAAACCTATCGGTTACTTTCCTCCGAAGAGGCTCTAACAACTCATCACTCGACCCAGATTCGCTAAGAATAAACCTAGGCCTCTTCTTCTCGTTCTGTGAACCAGACGAACCAACCCCACCCATCCCATCCCCCTTCTTTTTGATAATCAAACAACCAGATGAGCTCTTTTTCTTCACCACACCCCCTGATCGCACACTCTCTTCCATTCCGTGGAATTATCACAAGAAATGCCTAAAATTTAATCAAATTCACATGCAATTCACCATCAAAATTAAAGGAAAACGCCACAAAACCAAACTTTTTATCCTTAATCAGACATTACCAGATCTGAAACAAAGCAAAAAGCATCCTAGATTTTTAGAGAAAAATCAAGAAACTCCTGTTAAGAGAAGTGTCCACGCAGCGAAAAGTGAATAAATACTCTATGATCCGTACCTCGCCGGAGAATTGTGTGATTCAATCAACGGAGACTTGCTGACGGAATGCGTCAATCGGTGACGTAATTATCCGGCGAACAGAGAGGGAGAGAGATGTATTGGTTCCCTGTGTGCGTGTGTGCTTCTCTTTCTTTATGAGAGCTTTGTTGTCTTGTCGTCTTTTATTGCGAAAAATAGTAATTAGTGATGTTTTATATGTGAAATTTACGTTTACCGATGGATACTGTAATTCAGCACTTTTTATTTAAGGGTAATTATCATCTACACCCCTCTAGATTGACATATTTTTAATAAGACTCTTCTATTATTCAAACATTACTAACACCATTTTTTTTTAGTTTATATTTAAACATTATTGATGCCCCTATTGTTAAACCAAAAAAAATTCATCTAAAATACTAAAATTGTCCCTACATAAACATCAAACAATCTTTCTTCATAGATTTTGATTAAAATTTGAGCCGGTTAAAATTTATTTTTATACATATTAAAATTTGAGTCGATTAAAATTTAATTTGAATTAATTAAATTTTATTTTTTTTATATTAAAATTCGAGCCTACTGAAAAAAATTACATATTAAAATTCTAGCCGATTAGAGTTCAACCTAAGCTGCTAGCTCCAATTAAAATTTAATCTAAGTCAATTAAAATTATTTTTTTTTTGTACGTATTAAATTTAAATTGATTAAAATTTGGTTTGAGTTAATTAAAATTCAATTTTTACGTATTAAAATATATTTTTTTTTATGTTTGAAAATTTAATTCAAGCAGATTAAAAATAAATTTTAATCAACTCAAACCAAATTTTAATCAGTTTAAATTTTAATAAGTAAAAAAATATAATTTTTAATCAATTCAAATTTTAATAGGTAAAAAATAAATTTTAATTACCTCGAATTGAATTTTAATCAATCTCGTTGAAGATGTCTATCTAGAGGAGGGTTGTGGATGAAGTGTTTCCTAAAATATATCATAAATAATTTAGTAAAATATAGGGTATCAGTAATATTTAAAATAATAGGGGGATTCCATTGCAAATATATCTATGTAGAGAGAGTGTCAATGATAATTACGTTTTATTTAATTAATTTTCCCTCCATACTGTAGTACTATTAAATCGCGTGTTTAAACCTTGTGATCCGCTCCTTGAAATAATAACGTTTGATCAAAAAAACGTGAGCCGCAATGTGAGCTCGAATACTAAATTCTATCAATTAAAGATTATTGTTTAATAAAAAAATATTGACTTCCTCTAATTAAATTCTTTTATTTGACTTATGTAATCACTCCTACAATATTTTTAAATTTAATTTTTTTTGTTAATAATCTCACATTATATTTTTTAAAAAAATGATTATACAAAAAACAGTGTTTATACTTTATTTAAAATTATAATTAAAGTACCTAATTTATTGGTGGAACTTCATTTACTACATTTAGGCCCACCATTAATCAGGTGATCTTTTACGTGCTTTATAAATTAAGTCTTAATACTGCTATTCATCCAAAGATAACAATGGACCATATTGATAGGTAAAATTAGTAAATTAAATAAATTAGTTATAAGTAATTAAGGCACATAATCGAACAAGTTAGTCGAGCTTAAAAAACTTATTTTATTAACCGAACTTAAAAAATTATTCAAGTTTAACTCGTTTAAAAAACGAGTCAAAGTCTGAACGAGCCTAAAACGAACCAAACTCAAGCCGAGTCCAAGTATTTGCACATAAACGAGTCGAGTTTGAGTCGAACCTGTCGGGCTCGTCTTCTAAATGAATTTAAAAAATTATTTAAGTTCGATTCATTTTTTAAATGAACCGAGTTTGAAAAAATTAAAAACTAGTCAAATTCAGACCGAACTCAAGTAGTTTGATTTAATTAACAACTCTATAAATAATATATTTAACTATTACAAATGAAAATAAGAGATTTGGTGACCAATTGTTATTTCTTCCCCTCAACTGCCAAATAACTTTTCACTCCACTGTTCTCAATCTCATGTCTTTTTAAGGATTAAAATTTTATTTTGGTACTAATTCGTTTGGGTGTCGTTGTAAATGAAAATATTTCGATCATTTCAAAACGAATTTTTGATCCTTGTGTCTGCTTGTCTTTTTTTTTTTTTTATAAAAATCCAAGGAGAAATATGCAATTGTTATCTAAATATTATTGCAGAGTTAAAAAAAAAAAAAAAAGGTCAAGAAAAGTTCAATAAGTCCCAAATTATCTCTCACCATCGAAACTATTTTTGACAATCTTATTTTTTATTATTATTATTTTTTAATTTTTAAAGAAAGAGAAAATGTAATAGGGTAAATTCGAATATTATTGTGATCGAAATAATATATCAAAATAAAATTTTATGATTTGTTTTTAGCGGGGAAACCCCCCCATTTTCCGCTTGAACCAAACACTAGATATATCTTTCAGTTTTTATTCAGTGTTCCATAGCGGTCTCTCAAAAAATTCTNGGGAAACTCCCCCATTTTCCGCTTGAACCAAACACCAGATATATCTTTCAGTTTTTATTCAGTGTTCCATAGCGGTCTCTCAAAAAATTCTCAAACCCACCAAGATTAACATGAACATCCCTCAAAGAAGATTGCAATACGGTAAAGACTCGATCGACAATGACAATGGTTTTCAATGCTTCACAAAAACAGCTTGTTCTTGCAATTCTATTGGCTTTGTCTCTGGCAAATCTTCTGACTTTGGCGGTAGCACCACCCGGTCGTTCCATGGGTGGATCGTCGTTCTCTTCGGGTTCTTCATCGTCTTCTTCGAGTTAATATTATGCCGCGTATGGCTCTGGTGAATCGTCGGAGTCTAGGGATTTGGCAGGAGGGCAACTTTTATTCTTGGCTGTGCTCTATAATGTGTTTGTGTTCGCTATGCTGTTCACCTGCGTTGATTACTGCTGCTGTAGGAGGCATGGTGTTCTCATGCTTCAGGTATGATGTCTCAAATTTATGTAATTGTTGGGCATTACCAGGGTCAAAGAGGGCGTATCTGTAAGTTTATTCGATTGTGACAGGAGGGTCATAGCTTTGCATATTTGGGTTGATAAAACTACCCAATTAATTGATTTTTTTTTTGTTTTCTTCCTGGGTGACCAAAAATATATGTCAAACTTTGTTACATATCATTTTTGTTGTTCTTTATGACATTGATAAAATATGCCTTTATATGTTTTGGCCTTCACCCTCGGCCAGCCTCGGGTTTTGAGGGAACATTGGATGTGTATGTCTTGATATATTTGAAGGAACATCGTAGACATGTGTTCTTATTTGTCTCTCTGGATGTTTAAAATTTTATGANCGGCCTCGGGTTTTGAGGGAACATTGGATGTGTATGTCTTGATATATTTGAGGGAACATCGTAGACATGTGTTCTTATTTGTCTCTCTGGATGTTTAAAATTTTATGACTGTTCACCTAGTTTATGGGTTGTGAGAGTTATATTTGTGTTTAGAGGCTAGGCGAGGTTTAGATGCTTAGCAATTCTCATCCAAGAATTGTTTAGTGTGGCCTATCGACATGCTTTGAACTATGTTATGTATTTCATTTCCTGATAATAAAAGTTACCGCATTTTTCATTTGATGTGTGTCTGTGTGTGTAAAATCCTGAATGTTGCTCTACAGATTGGGTTATCAGAGAAGGGACGCTCCATTCAAAGAGAGCTTAATGCAATTGCCAAAACTGCNACATGATGTGTGTCTGTGTGTAAAATCCTGAATGTTGCTCTACAGATTGGGTTATCAGAGAAGGGACGCTCCATTCAAAGAGAGCTTAATGCAATTGCCAAAACTGCTAACACATCTGGTGTGCAGGATTCCACAAAATNATTTGATGTGTGTCTGTGTGTGTAAAATCCTGAATGTTGCTCTACAGATTGGGTTATCAGAGAAGGGACGCTCCATTCAAAGAGAGCTTAATGCAATTGCCAAAACTGCTAACACATCTGGTGTGCAGGATTCCACAAAATATTGACAGGTTAGTGTAGAGTTTTTTTTTTGACATCTCAAACTTTGTTGTTAATATTGTTTCACTTGCTGTAAAAANCTGGATTTCCACAAAATATTGACAGGTTAGTGTAGAGTTTTTTTTTTTGACATCTCAAACTTTGTTGTTAATATTGTTTCACTTGCTGTAAAAATGCTCTTAAGCATTTGAAAATCATATGTTTTGGTGGTATTGGTACATATTTGAGTAAAACAGGGCTGTGGTGAATTTCAATCCACCTTGTTCAGTACAAATAGAGATCTATTTTCCCAGTGTATTAATTTGCATGTTATCGTAAGGTGTGATGGGTGCCAAGTACTTTGGACTAAGGACTTATTTCAGTCAGCCTGGAGCTGATCAGATCAATTGTATTTACATATTGCATTTCGAGCCAAATGAATTAATTTTTATAGGCATCCCACTGTTGGTTTCTCTAGTTGGGAAACCTAATAGTGTCTTCAAGGTCTTTGTTACTTCATGTTATTTCTTAACGTGTAACTATTTCATACGCCTACAAGCATGTCAATGGGTTGATGTGAGTACATGTGTTAACAAATCTATGTTCCTAGCAATACATAAATGCCTTGATGTACAGGGGTTATATATTAATGGACATATGTTCTTGCCTTTCTCATTCCTTTTTAGAGAGTTTGGTGGAACTTGTGCCCAGTATATGTGAAGGGATTAGGATTAAAAACTGAACAAGGTATGATGGGAGTAGAGAAACAGATTTATGAGACATGTTTCTTCTTGTGTGAGACAATGATAGACAAGCCGGTCACCTATATTTTGTCTCCAGTTACCCGATTCAATTATGTAATCTCTTGCTGTTTTTCTAAGCTTTGTTATCCTTTTTTATAGTAGACTCTCTTGTGCTATAGCTTCAGTTTTCTAACACACTGAAAATGCATTGTGTATAGTTTGACAAAACTAATTATTAGGTGGAGTTAGTATTCTTTCTTGTTTTGCAGTCACAATTAACTACTGCAAAATTGGGTGAACTCTATGACATGATATATTATTGCTAATGAGATGTTTTTATTCTTCAAATTTGTTGCAGACACCAGCAACGCCCTTCTTCAAGATCTCGATTACTGTATCGCGGGTTATTTAATTGTAAGGATATATACCCTTATCTAAGAGACTTGTCTTTTTTGGTTCTAGTCCTTTCTCAATTATCAGATGGCAATTTGCATCTTCTGTATCTAACTGAACTGAGAACATGTATAGTGTGATATTGGTCAAACACTCTTTCAGAATTGGAAACCTGTTTACCCAGTAATTGTTCCCGCTCGAGGTGTGATTTTTGAGCACAGGGCTTAAAGAGGCACATTCTGCTTTGTCTTTACTGTTGAAGTGTTATATGACTTGATCACTGGATGCAAGGGCAAACAAAACATGTTTAATTTTGCCAAAAACATGGGGCTACCTACTGGTTCAGTGGTCAAAACTCATTCTTTTGATGTGAAAGGTGTGGGTTTGAAACTGAAGATGGACACTTTGTGCAAATATGCCAAATGTTTGGTCTGTACCTAAACCTCTCCCAGTCCCCAGACCACCATTAACCGCGACTAAATTGGCCTTTTATAATTTACAAAATCCATAGTTATTTATGATATACTCAACTTGGAGATATTTTTTGAGTAAACTTTTTTGTTTCTAGANCATTATTTTTATAATTTACAAAATCCATAGTTATTTATGATATACTCAACTTGGAGATATTTTTTGAGTAAACTTTTTTGTTTCTAGACTCGAATGATATTAGCCCTATGAAACTTTTTCCAACCTCCTCTTATGCAGTAGGAGTGGATTCCAATCCNTTTTTGAGTAAACTTTTTTGTTTCTAGACTCGAATGATATTAGCCCTATGAAACTTTTTCCAACCTCCTCTTATGCAGTAGGAGTGGATTCCAATCCAAATTATTGTGGGATAGTCGAGATTTCACTTTCATTTCAACCCGCAAAATATAATTATTTTCCAGCCTAGCCTGATGAAATGCAAAGGAGATGCATTGTTGGAAACTTTATTGTTTTAGCAATGCTTTAGGGAACCATCACGATTAGGCTATCAGACACAAAATTCAGGAGAATCTGTGACTTTAATTACCTTGTATTAAGTATTGGTTACTGAAGCTGATTCACCTGAGATTTTGCATACAATTTGTTTCTATTCTGTCCAGCATATTCATATCTTTGTGCCTCATCCATCTACATAATGCCAAACCGGAAGTGATGTTGATGTACGACCAATAAGAAGGGATCCTTTTCATTTTTTTTTTCAATAATAAGTCACAATGTTTAGAAGGCAGATAATTGTAACGCTTGTTTCTTGTAATCTTCTACCCTGATCTATCTCCTTTGATTTAAGGGAAGTTTCATTAGACTATCAATATGCTGAACATGTTTTTAGTATTTCCATAGCTTTTCAGGTGGAAAGGACAAATGACATGGAGAAAGCAGATGATCGTTTTCATGTGCTTTCACACACTGAATGACTGAAATTCCACATGGAAACATTGGTAAATGTTAACAATGTGAAAGTTGAAAGAGAATTCATCCCAAAAGTTGACAGACATGGACAAAATTTCATTGTGGTAAAGTCTTTCTGTGGTGAGAACTATTTTCAGAAACATTTCCTGTGATTCCTTATGATGCTGCATTGTTTTCCTACTATATTTACTCTTGTTGGCCAGCTCAAGTATACTACTAGTCTCATTAATAAATTTTCTAAAANCTATATTTACTCTTGTTGGCCAGCTCAAGTATACTACTAGTCTCATTAATAAATTTTCTAAAATTATATGCATTTAATGGTAAATCATTCACTCATGCATTTTCTTTCCCGACACACTGAACTCTGAATTCAAGATACTTCAAAAGTAGGAATTGGGTGGGCAGCATTCAATTTACTAAGTTCTACCGATAAAATCAGTTAAATTCTGTCACTTGTATGACATTAAGCCTCAAGTATTAGAAATTTAGAATCATATACTGCAGATATAATTAATTTCGTTGTCATTCTTAATTGCATTTCATGTATCTTTGTTCCTCAGGTAATGATCCTGGTGGCTATTCATGGGCGGTACACTTTACCTGTCATCAAGAGCAGGGAAAGCTTGAAGGTGGCCTTGCAATATTTGGGTTGCTCCCTCACAGTTGTTGACATTGAGGTAACAGAACACAGACTGGTGTGCTAAATCTTTCAAATGGTAGACTGGATAACTATTGTCCTTTTTTTTTTTTCGCTGTAGGCTGTGCATGTGTTATGGACTCCCCAAAACGAAGATGATGCATTGTTAGAGGAGGAGCTGCATAAAGATTACCCACTTTTGAAGCCGATATAGAAACACACTAATCTGAATATTGTTGTATCATGATTCAATCTATTCAAAAGGCGTATATAGGTCTCTCTTAAATGTATATTTCCGAAGAGATCGTACTAATGGGCATACTCAGTGCCGTTATTGCGAAGTTTAGAGAGGGTTAGATGTACGTAGTTTTACCCCAATAAACGAAAAGGAAATTTTCGCAACTTGAACCCAAAGAGACTATACAGTCCATACAATATACCCTAGTCCTAGCTCACTAGATACTTGGCATAGTCGCAGTGTATATAGTTTTACTAGCTCAAAGTGTTGTTTGAAAATTTTCTTGTATATTCTGTGCGAATTCTCTTAGAGAATGGTCATGGCATTTGTAAGGCGATTTTTTTATAGATTAGAAGGGAACCACAAAGGGGTTCAATTTGAAATGTTGATGATTGACTGACTTCATCAAGATCTGATGAATTAATAATATTATTTTAACATTTTTTTTTTTATTTTGTTGGCATTTAAAAATTAAAATTAATAAAAAATTAGAATAGGTAATGTACTTAAAATTAACTTCCTCAAATACACGGCATTATCAAGTTTGGAACCTTCCAAATTTATAAATAATCTTTCTGGTTGTAAGAGTTATAAATAATCTTCCAAGTTTTCTAATTAGTATTAGTCTCTCAGGTTGTAAGAGTTATACTTGTCTTTGTTTGGCAGACGAGTATTATGTGTCGTGCAATTCTCATCCAAAAACTGTATGGTGTGACCTATGGGCATGTGTGGAACTATGTTATATGTTTCTTTTTGATAGACAATCTGGTGACTGAGAGTGTCTCCAAGTACCCAATTCAATCACTTCAAATCTCTTGCAGTTTTTGCCATGCTTTGTTTTCTTTTATTTTGTTAGACTCTCTTGTGTCACTGGCTTTAGGTTTCTAACACTGGAAATGCAGTGTGTATAGTTTGATAAAGCTTATTAATTAGGTGGAGTTATGGTCCATCTTTCCTGTTCCTCACTAACAATTAGCTATTGCAAAATTTGGGTCAACTAATTTCATTTGTTCTGGTATTGCTAATATTTTTTATCCTGTTTGTTGATACCGAAAAAATATACAAAAGACAATGGAATTTCAGAAGACAACAAATGATAAAGAAACTACCAGAAGGGACAAAAAATGACTTTCATCATCAAATCATAACCTTGGACAATAAGTCACTGCATCTAGAAGGTTACGTCATACCAAATATTTCCTGAATATTTTTCGAATATTTCTCTAATATTTGTTATAAAAGAGAATGATCACTATTTAAAAAGGAGCTTCAAGCAACAAAAAAACTCTATTGTACTTTTCTTTTTCAAGGCCATTGAGCAAGAACTTCCATTAGAGTGGATTAGCCAAATTTTTGAGTTGATGAATCACTTAATTTCTTGTGTATTCTTACTTATTTTTCTACACACACGACATATCCACCAAGAGTTTATCTAGCTTTTCATCTCATGCTTCTCGATTTTTATCCCATCACTTTCGATTTGTTGTAGAGATCGCCGACACCTTTCTTCAAAATCTAAATTACTGAATTGCCGATTATTCATATGTGAGTGGAAAATAACCTTATTGAGACTTTCTTAGCTACGAAATAACAATTTTCCATCCTCTGTATCTGACTAGACTAAATACTTGTAATGTAGTATGATATTTGGTCAAACGCGTTTTTGGAAAATTGGAAACTCATGACCCAGTAATTGTTCCCGCTAGAGGTGCGACTTTTGAGCACAGGACTTGGAGAGGCAGATTCTGCTTTCTGTTTAGCATTGAAGTTTTTATATGGCATGATCAACTCAACACAGATACAAGGACAAATAAAACATGTTTAATGTTTACCAAATACGTGGGGCTGCTGGTTTAGTGGTTAAAATCCGGCTTAATAGCACGTTAAGGTTGTGTTGATACCATAAAATATACAAAAAGTAATGAAATTTTAGAAGAAAACAAGTAATACAGTTCTAAACTATCAGAAGAGACAGAAAAAGATTTTCACCATCAAACTACACATTGGGCAATAAATCACGCCAAAATATGCTTTGAATATTCCTCGAATATTTCCTAAATATTCCCCTAATATTCTGTTCTAAAAAGTAATGATCATTGTATAAAACTAGGCCTCAAGGAAAAAATCCTATTATACTCTTATTCTTTAAAAAAACAATATTAGAGTATGTGTGACTCATATTTGCTGTATGCACAATGGTAAGGAGGTAGATGTCGGAGCGAGTGGAGCTCGCGACGGTATCTGCCTTGCGGGATTGATATATTTTATGTATGGGAGGGACACTAATTAGTTGGGGGTACGGAGGCAACGCCACCGCGGTATAGTACAGGGGTATTTTGTAAATACGTCCGTACTAGGGTTATATAAATACATAAGATGTAACCCTACTTTGAATAATGAAAAAGAACGGCCGCTCGCTCCTGTGGATGTAGGCACATTGTCGAACCACGTAAATATTTGTGTTATTTTCTCTTGCTTTCTTAATTGTTTGATTCCTTATTATTCACCATAATTGCTGCACGATCTCAACAACTGGTATCAGAACAAGGCTACAATGTCTGGGATTTCTTCTGTAAAATTTGACATCATAATGTTCAACGGAACTGAGAATTTCGGATTATAGCAGAGGAGGGTGAAGGACCTATTAGTGTAGCAGGGCATGGTGAAGGCGTTATACGGAAAACAACCGACAGGAATGGACGACATGGATTGGAAAGAATTGGAAGCGAAAGCTGTGACGACTATTAGGCTTTGTCTGGCTGATGACGTGATGTATCACGTCATGGATGAGGAATCACCGACAGAAGTTTGGTTGAAACTGGAAAGTCGGTATATGTCCAAGTCGTTGACGAACAAGCTCTATCTTAAGTAGAAACTATATGATTTTAAGATGTTAGAGGGCTCGGATCAGACCCAACACATCAACGTGTTCAATCAGATCATCAACGATCTGAAGTGAGTTGATGTGAAGTTCGAAGACGAAGACAAGGCGTTGATGTTACTGAATTCCCTGTCTCCTACGTCCGAGAATTTGGTTATGACTCTGATGTGGGGGAAAAAAACCCTCGAGTTGGAGGATGTCACAAGTGCTCTGTTAGGTTTTCATTAGCGAAAGAAAGCTAGTGATGAGGCTTCACAAGGTGAAGGGCTTGTGGTGAAAGGTAACCAGGAACGTGGAAGAAGCAAATCTAGGAATGGATCGGGTAACAATAAAGCCCAGTCCAAGTCGAGGAAGAAGAAGAAGGACGTCTCCCTCTTGTGTTACAAGTGCGGGAAAAAAGGGCATTTTAAACGGGACTGTCCAGAGAAAAAGAAAGGGGGTTCAGAGGACAAAGAGGGTCCATCATAAGTCTGCAAACGTAGTGGAAGAAGAAGATTCAGAGAGCGGTGACGGTAATATGCTTTCTGTTTCATCTGGTTCAGATCGTCTAACAGATTCCTGGATTATGGATTCAGCATGTTCCTATCACATGACACCCAACAAAGATTGGTTTGACACCTACAGGTCAGTAAATTCTGGTTCTGTTCTGATGGGTAATGATGCATCTTGCAAAGTTGTTGGAATAGGANGATTATGGATTCAGCATGTTCCTATCACATGACACCCAATAAAGATTGGTTTGACACCTACAAGTCAGTAAATTCTAGTTCTGTTCTGATGGGTAATGATGTATCCTGCAAAATTGTTGGAATAGGGAATATTAGAATTAAGATGTTTGATGGTGTGGTTAGAACGTTGTGTGATGTTAGACATGTACTGGATCTAAGGAAGAATCTGATTTCATTGGGCACTTTAGATTGTAATGATAATAGTTACAAATCTATAAGTGGAGTAATAAAAGTGAGTAAATGCATGCTGACAGTGATGAAAGGACAGAAAGTAGCAGGAAACATTTACAGACTGCTGGGTACCACAATTGTAGGTGGAGTTGCTACTGTAGAGTCTGAATCAGATAGTACAGTCTTGTGGCATATGCGGCTGGGTCATATGAGTGAGCGTGGGATAATAGNGAAAGGACAGAAAGTAGCAGGAAACATTTACAGACTGCTGGGTACCACAATTGTAGGTGGAGTTGCTACTGTAGAGTCTGAATCAGATAGTACAGTCTTGTGGCATATGCGGCTGGGTCATATGAGTGAGCGTGGGATGATAGAGCTTCATAAGAAAAAACTATTGAAGGATGTTAAAACATGCAAGCTCAATTTTTGCAAATATTGTGTTATTGGAAAACATAACAGGGTGCAGTTCAAGACAGCCACACACAAGACAGAGGGAATTCTCGACTATGTCCATATAGATATTTGGGAATCAATTAGTGTAGTATCATGGGGAGGATACATGTATTTCGTGAGTTTCATTGATGACTACTCGCGAAAGTTCTGGGTGTACTTCATGCGGCACAAGTCCGAAGCATTTGCCAAGTTTAAGTTGTGGAAAGCTGAAGTAGAGAACTAGACAGGAAAGAAGATTAAATGCCTCAGGTCAGACAATGGTACTGAGTACACAGATTCAAAGTTCTAGGAGTTGTGTGAGTAACATGGGATCAAGAGACACTTCACAGTCCGCAAGACACCACAACAAAATGGTGTAACGAAAAGGATGAATAGAACGATAGCCGAGAAAGCTCAGTGTCTCAAGTTGAATGCAGGGCTTGCAAAGAATTTCTGGGCAGAGGCAGTGAATATGACATGTTTCTTGATTAACAGATCACCGAGGGCAGCACTAGATGGGAAAGTATTAGAGAAGGTATGGACATGCAGTGAGGTAGACTACTCTAGTTTAAGAGTGTTTGGATGTCCAGCCTATGTACATGTTTCTAGTGAGGAGAGGTCGAAGCTTGATGTGAAGTCTAGACAGTGTATCTTTCTGAGATATCAGAAAGGGGTGAAAGGCTTCAAGCTCTGGGATCCGAAGGCAAACAAGATGGTGATCAGTAGAGATGTGGTTTTTGATGAAAAAGTCATGTTATAGCGTA